CCAGGGGTCTACCCATCATCCTCTGAGAACAGTCCCAAGCAACCAGGTCTGTACCATGTGACTGCCCTGCCATCTCTGATTGGCTCTCCTCTAGGGACCAGTCAGCAAACGGAGGCCAAAGGACCTGATTTGTGTGAAATACGACCCAGACGATGGCCTTCTGCCACTGCATGGTTGCCATTGTTGAGGTACAGCGTAGGCTGACCAAGCGTCTCAATTTCGCCAGGTCTCCTGGGACCCTGACTTCTCATTGCCAAGACCTGAAATCCTACCAAACTAGAAAGGCTTAGTTCCCTGAGCACAGGACATACAGTGTCCTACTTGTCCCCAAGGGGTCCCCACGAGGAACGCCTTTGCCCCACTCTTAGGGCTGAGGTATGGGTTTATTGTTTAGTTGCTAAGTTGTGCCTGACCCTTTTTAGCACTCCCCAAAATTCATATTCCTGAAACCTCAGAAGGTGACTTTGCTTGAAATAAGAGTGTTTGCTGATGTCATCAGTTAAGATGAGGTCATGCTGGATCATGCCTCTTGATGAGGGTCAAAGGAGAGTGAAAAGTTGACTTAAAACCCAACATTCAAAAAAACTAAGATCATGGCATCCAGTTCCATCACTTAATGGCAAACAGATGAAGAAAAAGTGGAAACAGTCACAGATTTTATTTTCTTGGGCTCCAAAATCACTGCAGATGTGACTGCAGCCATGAAATTAAAAGACGCTTGCTACCTGGATGAAAAGCTATGACAAACCTAGATAGCATATTAAAAAGCAGAGACATTACTTTGCTGACAAAGGACGGTCTAGTCAAAACTGTTTTTCCAGTAGTCATGTACGAATGTGCGAGTTGGACCACAAAGAAGGCTGAGCCCCAAAGAACTGATGCTTTCAAATTGTGGTGCTGGAGAAGGCTGTTAAGAGTCCCTTGGACAGCAAGATGAAACAGTCAGTCCTAAAGGAAATCAACCCTGAATATTCATTGGAAGGACTGATGCTGAAGCTTCAATACTTTGGCCACCTGATGTGAAGAACTGACTCATTGGAAAAGACTGATGTTGGGAAATGAGGGCAGGAGAAGGGGGCGGCAGAGGATAGCATCATTGACTCAATGGACAGGAGTTTGAGCAAACTCTAAGAGATCGTGAAGGACAGAGAAGCCTGGCGTGCTGCAGTCCATGGGGTCACAGAGACACTTGAGGCCAGCTCACTCCAGGGGCCAGGCTGTGGTCCTGCCCTCTCATCGCGCAGGACACTTCAGAAGATGGTGACCTGTTAGCATCTCTTGGTCCTTACAGCAACCTTCGCTCACACCTGAACAGGGTCTGTCTCATGGTCCCCAGTCACCCACCAATGCCACGGGCATCGGCCAAGTTCCCATAAATCAATTTACTCTGAAGAATCAACTCCAGTGACCTCCTGGCTGCCTCAAGAGAGGCGCCCAGCTGACCTGTTGGGTGAGCAGAAGCCATGAGGCAGTGGGGAAGACATTTTGAGTCTGGTTGGTGACAGCTTAGGTCACAGGAACAGAGATGAAGACTGACTAGGTGATCGGGCGTGTCTAGGGGTGGCCAAAACAAAGCACCCTGAATGGGCAGCTTCAACAACAGAGATTTACTCTCCCCTGGTTCTGGAAGCCAGAAGCTCAAGGTTGAAGTGTCTCGGTGGTGTCCCCTCTGAAGGGGGAAGTGAAGGCCCTTCTCTGAGCATCTGGCAGTTCTCTGACCCTGGCTGCATCATCCCCTCTCCAGCTGCATTCTCCCAGCCTCGGTGTCTGGGTCCAGACTTCCCCTTGGATAAGGACACCAGCCATCCATCCTGTGTTGGGGCCATCCCACCCCAGTCCCATCTGAACTAACCCCATGTGCCCTCAAGGTCACCTGTCCCAGTCCTGGTCAAGGGCAGCCCCTCCCCTCAGGGGTCCTGCTGAGGATGCTCACCCTTCCTCCCCAACGGTGTCCACCACCATCATGAAACGTGGCTCTTGTCCATCCCAAGGCCCTGTCCCCCATGGCCAGACCCCTCACTGCAGCCTCAGCTCTTCCTGCTCTGAAAGCCATGGTTTTCCTGGACAGGCTGAGCGGTGCCCCCACATCCTAAAACCTGGGACCTTCCCTGGAATCAGGGTCTTTCAGACGTTAAAGCTTAGGATGCACTTGAGGTCATGCGCTGTGGGGTGCACCCCAAATCCAAGGATGGTTACCTTGTTCTATTTTTTTTTTTGGCCATGCTAATCTTAGTTCCCTAACTGCAGATCAAACCTGCGTCCCCTGCACCCCTGCAATGGACGCATGAAATCTTAAACCCCTGGACCACCAGGTAAGTCCCCAGGGATAGTGTCCTTGTAAGAGACAAGAAAAGTTTGTGAGGACAGGCAAAGCCTGGAGCCACTGGGGGCTGGAAGAGACTGGAAGGCTGCTGCCCTGGGGCCTGACATGCAGTCTGGCCACACCTGGATCCAGAACCAGGGATCAAGCCTTCATTTAGGCCCCAGGTCAGTGATCCCACCCCAGCCACCCCAACAGACAAGCTACCTTCTCAACCTGGCCTTCATCCCCTCACCTCCACCCTGTCCTGTGTCCCCTGTATCACCTCTGAGTCCAAGTTGCAGATCCCCTCCCCCAGGCCCACCTGGGCCACCCATCCAATCTCCAGCAGACACTGTTCGTCCTCCAGGTGCTCCTGCCCACCAACCTGTGTCCCCCATGCCAACGGGCAGCACAGCCCCCACAGCCTCGTCTCACTCGTGGATACGAGAGTATCCACGCAGCTGTGACGGAGCATGGTGGACAGCACCCACCCGTGTATCCCCTCCAGTTTGGGAGGGCAGAGGCCGAGATCTGGTATCCCAGGCTGGCTCTTGCCAAGGGGCCACCTACCGACCCCCAGCTTTTGGAGGTCGCAGCCAACCTGGGCTTATAGGGGCCTCACCCCAACTCCTCCTCCACTTTCATGCGGCCCCTCCCGTGTCTGTGTCCAAATACCCACCCTGTGAGGCCCAGTCCTGCTGCGTCAGGATCACCTGCTCCCACATGATGCCCCCTTAACTACCTACCCCTGGAAGGATCCTGTTCCCAGGCAAGTCCTGCTCTGAGATGTGGGGTCAGAACCTCACATGAACTTGGGGTTACAGCATGCAGCAGCCTCTATCACTTACTTTGGGTCCTGTCTTTCTCTCTGGGCGTCCGCTGCCCTCCCCCAGTGTCTGTGGAGTGACAGATGCACTGCCCCTGTCCCGTGTCTACATGGGGTGTCCGCTCTGCCACCAGGACCCCCCCCGAGAGTCGGGTGAGGGCCCCTGCTGACCAAGCTGCTCCTACTCCAGCCGCTTCTGTCCTTGTGTCTTCTGCACAGCAAGTGGCGCTGGTATTTCATTTTCTGCAAATTTCCTTTTTCAAGTGAAAGCTGTTGAGCATGAAGAGAACATGACTGAAAGCAAACAAGAAGGGAAGGACCCCAAGGTGCAAGGATATGGCTGCTGGCTCCTCTGCGGTGGGTCAGGGCAGGGTCCCCAGGCAGGGCGGCTGGCAGCATGGATGGGACTCAGCCCAGGCACACAGCATGGTCCTGCTTTATCCCTCCTGAAGCCACAGGTGCCAGGATCCATGGGAGGAAGGCCCTCAGAAAGCTCTCTTGGAGGCTCACCTAATGCACAAAGGATGTCTTTATTTCCTGGATATTTTCACGTAACAAAAACCACAACGCGCAGTGAGGAGCGGGGGAGGGATGGGTGCTGTGGGCACACCCTTCTACCTGCTCAGCACCCATCAAAAGCAGTGCCCCAGACCCGGGAGGCTTGGCCCCACTGGGAGTGCGACGCTTGCCTCATCACAGGAGGTGGCCTTGGGGATGTGAGGGGACCTGGTTTCCCATCTGGGCCGCAGACCCCGGTGCTCTCGCAGCCATGGCCACTTTCAGGCACCACAGGGCGTTCAGCAGGAGTAGCCAAGCAAGCAGGCATAGGGGGCGGCCTCGGGGAGAGACCTGGCGGCCAGTGGGACAGGAAGTATGGCTTGTCCCGAGAGCCAGGCGGCTGGTAGCCAAGGGGCAGTGGCAGGGCACCCGGGGCCTGGCCCACGAGGGCCGAGAGGGCACTGGGAGGCGTCTCTGGCCTGTCCCCTCACAGAGGTGCTGGCTGTTTATGTGGGAAGGAGAGGGCAGGGATTCAGATTCCTAATAAGGCACAGACTTATTGAGTCTCCCTCGTCTCCGTCCTTCAGGCTGGGGACTCCAGGTCCTGCCCCACAGCAGGGGAAGGGCTCCACTCTCAAGAGATGCACCTGTGTGCCATGTGTTTCCAGCGAGGCAGGCTGGTGGCTCCCTGCCCCTCCACCGCAGGCTCTAATGAGGTTCTGCCCGAAGGTCCCAGCTCTGAGACCCCTCCATGGGACAAGCGTGGCCCCAGACAGGAAAGCTGGAGGCAAGCTGCCAACGGACAACAGACAGACAGACAGACGGGGAGCAGTAGGTCCTATCATGAGACGGAGGAGGCGCATCAGCTTCTGGGCCTCCCCGTGGACTCGCCCACTACTAGAGGACCAGCCACCACCCAGGCCCTCAGTCTCCCACCAGACAGAGAACCCTGGTGCCTGGACAGCCTCCCTCCTCAAGTCACTGGGCCAGGAGCGACTGCCTGGACAGAGGCTGCGAGGGGTGGCCCTGGGCTGGGCCCTTCTCCATGTCATCAGTTCTGAGAGGGGCGACCCGGTCAGCCCCCCGCGACCCCGAGGGAGAGGGTGTGGCTGCAGCACAGTGGACGTTGCCATGACAAACGGTGCTCCAGACTATGGGGGGCATCCTGCCGGATGGCAGTGACCAGACAGCTTCCGGGCAGAGCTGGCAAGGAACCCTGCCTCAAGAGTGAGATGAATGTGGGCTCGGGTCGCCGAGAGCCCCTGAGCTGCCCTCTCAGCTGCGGAGGGGCCTCACCAAACCCAAGGTGGTGGGAGTGGACGGTGAGGGGCAGGTGGGCCGGCGGCAGGTGGGCAGCAGGGCTGCTGGCTCCCTCTAAGGCCACTGGCCACCACTGGCCGGGTAGCTGGGCACGGTGGGGTACTCGGGCAGGCTGTTCCCCGAGAAGTTGTTGAACTGGGCCTCCCTGGACGGCGGGTTCCTCCAGGTGCCCGTGCTCCACTCCGTCTGCGCCTTCTGGAAGCTCCCACCGGCCCCTCGGTAGATGCTGTGCACCTGTGGGGGTGAGGATGATGGTGGGGAGGCCACTCCTTGCATGCAAGGAGGGGCTTTTCTTAACTGATCGTGACTAACATGACAGCATTTGCAAGAACTTTAGAAAACGTACAGAAGCAGAGGCAGGGGGCTCTGAGGGCCACGCCTATACTGTGACTGCTGCCGGCTTGTCCCCAGGGATCTCCACTGTCCCAGCCAAGCCCCAACACTCAGCACAAGTGCTTCTTCTAGGGGAAGGGCTCATCCGGGGCAGGTCTGAGGCCTGGCGACCACCTGGTGACACCTCCCTCAGCCATGTCAGACCTGGGACCCCCAGGTCACCAAGGGTTGACATCATTCTCTTCAATGATGTCCTCAGCAGAGGCCTAAGCGGATAGGCCACTGCCCCCGCACTGTCCAGGAAGGCTGGGCTCCTCAGATCTGGGGCTGGGCTGTTTCTGGAAGTCTGGCAAATCCCGTAACTGAATTCATTTAACTTGAGGTTCCTGACCAGCAAAGCTGACGGTACTGTCCTTTCCCATCAGAATTCGTCTTTCTTCCTTCCCGGTGAACTGCCAAACCTGGAGTGGTGCAGGGGACCCCAACGAGGTGGCCCTACTCTAGGGGGCTTGCTTGGCTCGGAAGCCCCTCCCTTCTGCGTGACACGTCCCTGCCAGAACCACAGCCACCTTATGTGGCCTTCATCCTGGCCTCTGACCAAGTCTTCCAGGGTCTGTTCTGCCTCGGTTATCCCCCAACCCCCTTCAGGTTGTCCACACAGTCAGGGGGCTTTGGAGGCAAACATGGGGGGACAAGTACCCCTCTCTCCTCCCAGACAGTCTCAGGACCAGTTGAACAGCCCAGGCCTGGAAACCTGAAAAACAGCTGGGACCCTGCAACACGGAGGCTGGAGAGACCCCAAACCCAGGTTTCAGGAGTTGCTTGCCAGGCTGCAGCACAGGGCAGATCCAGCCTGCAGATCCAAGCAGGCTACCAGGCACATGGCCAAGAAGGTCACCCCGGGAAGGCGTCAGGCGCACTGTCAGCCATCAGTCTCTACATGGTCCCAGGACAACCCTCGTGTGGTCAATGCCCCAGACTACAGTGCACATGTTCCTGCTGGTGCCTCAAGGCACCTGGAGCAGGGCCGTCCAGGGAGTGGCCGTGATGGTGGAGACAGTCAGTGCCAGCCTTTCAAAGCCTGAGCACTCGGTATGAGGGCAGTGCGATGGATGTGAATTTTGTTTTAGTTAATTTCACTTAATTTGGATTTAACTGTAAGCAGCAGCAGCACGTGGCCAGTGGTGGCTAAATCAGCAGTGTGGTCAACCCTCTGGGACACACATGCTGGGGACTCCAGCAGACACCCAAATGCCTCGATGTGGAAGTGGTCACCCTTGGCCACACGGCGCTGTCTGCCCTCCTCCCTGGAAGGCTATGTGGGCAGGAAGGAAGGCAGTCGAAGGCCCAGATTGCAGAGAGTCTACCCTGCTGTCAGCAATCACTTCACTCGCCAGAGCTTGGCCTCTTGCTCCTAAAACAAGCCAGGACGAGTCCCAGGGCTGGGAGGTCAGAGAACAGGATGTGAGGGAGGAAGTGGAACATCCCGGGAGCTGGAGGACTCACCTTCATGATCATGATGGCCATCATGGCAGCCGACATGGAGAACATAATGGCTGGGAGCAGCATGACCACAGCGGCCCCGACGCTGGTCTGGAAGAAACCAATGGCTGCCAGCCAACCACTGCAAGGGGCGAGAACATGTGTGGGAGCCAGCTGGACCGTCAGCCGGGCCCACTACCTCTCTTATGTAAAGAGCTCCAGTAAATCAAAAAGAAAAAGGTAACCCACCAGCAGAGACATGGGATTCCCATGAGGACTACCACGGGACCAGTATACTTAGGGAGTGATGCAAGTCAGACAAAGACATGCAAGTCAGACAGAGGTCTCATTCTCACACCATTGTCCCAACACATGTCGTGTGGAGGACAGAGAAACAAACCCTATTCTGTCAGTTTGGACTGCGCCCTTTCTGGAGCACATTGGGGTCTGACCCATAACAAGGCTTAAACACTCATTTCCTTCTCCCCGAACTGTTTCACTCATCCAGTGTCGTAACAAGGACAATCTGAGGATGATCTAAACACCCATTGGTTGGGCAAAGCATGAACGTCAGTTACACTAAGGAGATGTGAAAACAAGAGAAAGTTGAAGGTCTGGGGTAGATCCTGAACCCGCACATGGGAGAACATGAATCTGGTGTCCAGGCAGGCCAGGGGTGGGGTGGGGGGGAGGCAGGAAATAGAGTACTTTTGAGAATGTTTTTTCTTAGTGAGTAACAAAACCACACAGTTCAGGAAGCTTAGAAAAACACACAATAGATGCCTCTCTCCTGTCAACGCCACTCCCCAGCCCAGAGGAAACTGGCATCCCTCATCTGCTAGTACACTTCCAGAGAGAGTTTACAGAAACATGTGCAGGGGATTCCCTGGTATCCAGGGGTTAGGACTCTGTGCTCTCACTGCCAGGATCCAGGTTCAATCCCCTGTTGAGGAACTAAGATCATACAAGTCACACAGGAAAAAAAAAAAAAGTGTGTGTGTGCGCGCGCATGTGCACAGGTATACAACCTGCTGGACATGCACACACATACACACGTGGACAGGCCTCGCCCCTCTGTGAAGCCAGGAGGGACGTCCTTGCATACAAATGCACACTGCTCTGCACTTTGAGGGACTGTAAGCATAGCTGGAGGTCTGGGAAGATGACAGACCTGGAGATAAGGGGGATGGGATGAGGGTATGAAGTGTTCCTCCAGGGCCACTCAGCCAGGAGCTCAAGGGGCCAGAGCCAGGGAGATGGGGATGCAGCCTGCAAAGGCCAGGGGAGGGTCTGGCAGCTCTGATGAAGGTTCAAGAGTTACCACGTGGCCCAGAAATTCCACAGCCAGGCATCCACCAGAGAGAGCTGAGAACACATGTCCACACGGACAGGTGTACATAATGCACAGAACTACCAGCAACAGAAGAGCAGAGAACCCAACGGTCCACCCACAAAAAACAGACACACACACTGCATCCCACCAACTCAGCCACCAAAAGGGGCAAAACCCTGACACTCACTACCATGTGGATGGACCCTGAGAATACACTTGCTCAGTGAGAGAAGCAGACACAGAAGGACACACATGGTATGATTCCACTGATGGGAAACGTCCAGAACAGGCCGATCCACAGACACAGGGAGTGGGTTCCTGGTTGTTAGCGGGTGAACAAGGGACTACTCATGGGGATGGGGCTTCACTTTGGGGTGGTGAAATGTTCTGAAACTGGAGTGATCGAACCTCCATCCTTGTAAACACACAGAACCACAGAGTCGTGCACCTAAGTGGCTGCCTTTCTGGGCTGGGAAGGCACCTCAAGGAAGCCCCAACCATGGAAAGGACAGGCAGTGGGGGTCCCAGTCAAGGAGGGTGCACACTCCACCCTACCTGGAGTCCAATGTAGACCAACCACAAAGGCTAACTGTTAACAAGCTGCAGGGACCCCAAGGGGAAGGCCTGACATGGTAGCTCTGTGGGTGAGGGCACTGTGCCCACCACATCCAGTGGAGGCGAGGGCGTCAGACGGGTGGGGAGGCAGCTTGGGGTGGACGCTCTACCCCAGATCTGCAAACCACGAAGAAGCCCCATGTGAAAAGGTCACAAACGGGCAGGACAGACAGGTCTGAGCCTCTGGTCACTGTTGCTTCCTAGTGTGAAGCAGCACTATAGTCTTTTACACATAAAACTAGTCTCACAGGTTTTAAAAGGCCTTCTGAATGGACTGACAGGGAAGCGTTCACCCAGAGGACGGTGGAAGTCTGGGGCCAGCGGGGAGGGATGGATACCCAGGGCCCAGGACTGGCCGGATGTCCCTGTAGCTCCACAGCAACAGTGGACCCCCCATGCTGTCCATCGCCCCCTGGAGGGGACTTGCGGGACTGCGGCCACCCGGACTGGAGCAGGTGGCTCTCTGGAAGGACCAGCCCTGCCAACCTGTGGGTTACATGAATTCTGACCCCTGGGACTTAAGATGAAAAGTTTGTTTCAAATCACTGAACATGGAGTAATTGACTATAGCAGCGGCAGACACCTCATGTGTTAATGAGTGCTAAGTCGCCTCAGTTGTGTCTGACTCTTTGTGACCCTTTGGACTATAGCCGCCAGGCTCCCTAGTCCATGGGATTCTCCAGGCAAGGATACTGGAGTGGGATTCCATGCCTTCCTCCAGGGGATATTCCCAACCCAGGGACTGAACCCACCTCTTTTATGTCTCCTGCATGGGCAGACGGGTTTTTTGGGGTTTTTTTGGCAGACGGGTTTTTTACCACTAGCACCACCTGGGAAGCAATGGAAAATACCTCTCCCAGATGGTGGGGCATGGCCCTCCCAGATGCTCTCTGACCCCGGGGACACACAGCTGGACATGTCTGCCAGGTTTTCCCGGAGGTCAGGTGACTGGTACGAGAACCACTGTGCATGGGCTACCAACCTGGCACCTCCCAGGGTAGGGGTTTACAAGAGCAAGGAGCAGACTTCACCCTCGTTCAGCCATTGGCATTTTGGTGTTCTGACCACAGTGTTCAGCCTAAGCTCATGTCTGTCCTGCGCGTGACACATGTCCCCATGGCTGACCCCGCAAGCTTACCACGCGCCCCATCCTGAGAACCCGACGGCCTGGATGATGGTCAAGACGAACTGGGCTCCGAAGATGAAGAAAAATGCCATGAAGTTGAAGGAGCTGTCAGATCTGGAGGGAAGCAAACGGCTTTGTTACCAATACTGGAGGGGAGGGCAGGGTGGAGGCAGTGAAGGGGCGGGGCCGAGGAAGGGCCCAGGCCAACTCGGCTATCCAGCGCACCTCCGGTTCCCGCCCCAAGGAGGAGGACACCCCTGACATGCTCCTCACCAGAAGGGGATTTAGGAGCCCCCACTATGCCCAAGGACCTGCCAGTAGCCTGAGGTCAATCTGATGGGTTCGTGGTGGGTTTGTGATGCCCTGCTGTCCCGGACAAGGGAGGCTGCAGAGTGCTCACATAGGGAGGGCAAGCAAGGGGTGATCTGGGATGGAGGATGGACGGGACCTCACGGTGCAGGGCTGAGCCTGGGCTGCCCCCAAAGCCCTCAGGGGGTCCCCATTCTTGCACACAGTTGCTGGAATCAGCTTGGGACCTGAAGTCACAGCGCCCCTTTAGCTTCAGCACAAGTGGACAGGTTTCTGGTTCTTGTCTCCAAAGGGCCCCAGGGGCCCCACCTGACTCCCACTGAGGGTCTGGTATTAGGGGCCACATGGAACAGACATAGCACATGCCTGAGTGCAGAGGGCAGATTTGGGGTGAAAGCCACAAAGCAAGATTCACAGTAGCCAGAAGGGGGCAGCAACACCAACGCCATCCACAGATGATGGAGAAACACCACTCAGTCCCTGCACACATGGGAGCATCACTCAGACACCCAAAGGGATAAAGCCCTGACACTTGCTACCACGTGGATGGACCCTGAGAACACGATGCTCAGTGAGAGAAGCAGACGCAGAAGGACACGCAGAGTGATCCCACTGATGGGAAAAGTCCAGAACAGGCAGATCCACAGACACAGAGAGTGGGTTCTTGGTTGTCAGAGGCTAAGGAGATGAGGATGGTGCTAATGGGGATGGGGTTTCTTGTTGGTTTGTTCTGGAACTAGATATGCTGGCTGTCCAGCCTTGTATAAACGCTAGAAACACCAAGCTGTTGAGCAGGTGAGCTGAGTTGTATGTACAGTATGTCAACAGTAATTAACAAAAAGGGAGAGATGGATGTGGCTTGTGGATCCCAGTACACAGTGTCATCCAAACACGAGAAAGAGGCATGCTCATACCTGGGCCGGGCGGCAGCTGCAGATCAGGGTGCACCCCTCTCAGGACTTGGCCCGGAGGGGGGCGCGCACAGTGAGGTCACCTGCTCTTGTTTCTGAGCCATCTGTCAACCCCAGACACTCCCCAAGGGCCCCTGGAGGGCAGGGGCCACCCCAACTCACCGGAAAGCCTTGTAGGCCGGCCGGAACCAGCACACATAGCCGCAGGGCGAGAAGAGGAGCAGCCAGAGCAGGGCCAGGCCGAAGTTAGCGCCTGAGCCACCCGCGATCCACCAGGCCAGGCAGGCAACGAGGTTGACGCCCAGGGTGGCACAGTAGACTAGAGGAGGGGAGGAGAAAGAGGGTGCTGAGTGGGACAGCCCCTACCACTGGGGTGTGGCTCCCACGAGCACAGGGACCTTGGGGCCAGAGAAGGGCCTGGGGGGCCGGGGCTCTGTGCAGCTGCCCACCTGCTCCATCCACTCCGGAGAGGAGCTCATCAGTGTGTGTACTCAGTTATGTCTGACTCTTTGCAACTCTATGGACTATAGTCTGCCAGGCTCCTCTGTCCATGGGATTCTTCAGGCAAGAATACTGGAGTGGGTTGACATGCCCTCCTCCAGGGGCTCTTCCCAGCCCAGGACTGAACCCACATCTCCTGTAGCTTCCGCATTGGCAGGCGGGTTCTTTACCACTGAGCCATGAGAGAAGGTCGTCGGAAAGCTTTATTACTAAACCCTCAGGCTCCCACCCACCTGGGTGGTGCACCCCTCCCCCTGACTCACACAGCCACAGGCGGTAGATCCTCTTCACCAGGACCTGGTGCTCAATAGGGATTTCGTCAGAGAAGTTCTGGTAGAAGCAGGGCTTCAGGGGGATGAACTTGGGCAACGGGGGGAAGTTGTTCTCTTTTCCTGCAGGGATGGGGGGACAGAAAAAGACTCACATTGCACTCAGCTTGTAGTGGCCCTAGGGCTGTGCCCATCTGCTCCTGGGACCTGTGGATGCATCACCTCATGGGGCAGAGGGGACTTCGCCAGAGGGATTAAGCTAAGGCCCCTGAGACGGGATGATCCTGGATTCCCTGGGGAGCCTAATGCCATCATGGGGTCCTTATAAAAGGGAAGGGGGAAGGTCAGAGGCAGAGAGACGTGAGATGCTGTGCTGTTGGCTGTGAGGATGGAGGGAGGGGCCACAAGTCAGGGATGCAGCACCTCTAGAAGCTGGAAAAGGGGGGAGCCGGTGCTCTCTGGGAGCCTCCAGAGGGACCAGCCCTGCCCACGCCTGGATTCAGCCCTGTGGTACCCATGTGGGACTCCTGACCTCAGGACTGTCAGAGAACAAATTCTATTTACTTATTTATTTATGGACTTAGTTTCTGACCGTGTCACATAGCATGCAGGATCTTAGTTCCTCCACCTGGGATTGAACTCACGCCCTCAGCACTGAAAGCACGGAGTCCTAACCACTGGACCTCCAGGAAGTCCCAGAACAAATTTCATTTAAGTATCTGAGTCTGTGGTGATTTCTTACGACAGTCACAGGCACACGTGAAGATTCAACAGCAGGGTCCACACGTATCCACACTGTTGACTCCAGGGCAGGTTGTGGCACTTGGGATGTGGGAGCTCCCTGGGGTTGCTGTTACAAAGGACCACAGGCTGGGCAGCCTGATTGGACAGAGGTCTGTCTCAGCTCCGTTCTAGAGGCTGCACAATCAGATCCAGTGTCACAGGGCCACGTTTCCCCCAGATGCTCCGGGCGCCCCGGGGTTGTGAACCCGTCCCTCCAGCCTCTGCCCCATCCTCCCTGCTTCCCTGTGACTGTCTCATCCATCTTAGGATGTCAGTCCCACTGTTATCTCAGGGCCGCCCTGCTCTAGCATGACTTCATCTCACAGCCACACCTGCCATTGGGTCCTCTTCCTGGAGTCTGGACTCCATGGGGTTTTTGTTTGTTTCCTTGGCCTCACTGCGTGGCTTATAAGATCCTAGTTCCCTGACCAGGGATGAACCCAGGCCCCCAGCAGTGGAAGCTCAGAGTCTTAACCACTGGACCATCAGGGAAGTCCTGGGACTTCCTGTTTTCCAACACGGAACACTTCCGTCTTACATGTCTCCAAGCCCCAGGGGCAGAGCTCATCTCTGTATGGTCCCTCTTTAGCACCTGTGCCACCGTGGCGGGCAGTGGACAGACCTCATAGCACAGTGTAACAGAGTGCTGCCTGGAGCCGCCCACTTCAGCTCCACGTCCGGGCAACTACATGGGTGCTCCATGGGCTCTGCTGGCTGGGCCAGGTGCTCACTGTGCGGACTCGTCACCCTGTTGTCCAGTCCAGTGGCCATCCCGGGAGGAGAGCAAGGCTGTGCCCCTCCTGGAGCCACAGTGTGCCCAGCTGCCCGGGGAACTTTCCAGATGGCCTGAGAAGCCAGGACCCCCCACTGCGGGGCGCGGTGGGACTCACCTGACATTTCTGCTGTGAAGACAGGGTGGGAGTGGAAGCCTGCAGCCACCTGGAGGGAGACAGGCACAGTCAGGGGGGCCCTATGGCTGCAGGGCGACCCCAACACCACCTGTGGATCCAGGGGCCACTGCAGTTACTGCCTTAACCACCAGAGCATCCACAGGGGTATCTGGGCTCTTGCCTCAAGGCCGACCCAGCCCCGCATGTGTGACCCCAGTCACCACCTCATGTCAGAGGCCCCCACCCCCACCCCGGGCAGCTTGCCACTGATGTGGGGGAGGCATCTGGGTGGAGGGTCCCAGTGACCCACCACTACTACCCTCCTACCTTGTCCTTCCCCAACTCCTCCACAAAAGTGAAAGTGTTAGTCACGCAACCCTTAAACTTTCCCTTTATCCACGGATGGCTCTGCACACTTCCTATGGCCACAAAGTCTCCGAGTCACCAAAATCTGAGTCCACACTCATTGCTGTGTGACCTCAGGGAAGTTACACAACCTCTCTGGTCCATGGCTTTTGCCCCTGTGAGCTTTGCAAGGCCAAGGACCCCACTGCAACCCAACTGAAATGCCTGGAGACAGGACAGGCACCCAGCGGCCCTGCCCAGGAGGAGCCCGTGTCATGGAGCAGCTCCTCAGAGGCAGCACCACAGAGGCGCCAGATGCACAAGGACCTAGGAGGCAGACATTACCTTCTCCAGGAAGTGGGCCAAGCAACATGGCCACACCTGGTACCCAACCAGCACAACTGAGCCTGAACGGCCCCCAGTGCTGGGCACTAAGCAGGTGCAGAGCCCCACAGGGAGGGGGTCCAAGGGAAGGATCCAATGATCGAGAGTCCTTGGGTCCACCCCCAGCCCCCAGCTCGGAGAGGGCCTCCCCCTGGGACCCGGAGCCTGGCCCAGCCCAGCCCTCCTGCCACAGGCCCCACCGGCCATCCACCGCTCCGGTTCCAGCAGACCCTCCACCTGCCCAGCCCCCATGGGCAAGGGATGGGGGCTCGAGGCATGGATGTCTCAGGGACCTGCAGCACACACATTTACTGCTCGGAGTCCCACACACCTGGGTTCCAGGGCTAACCACTCCAGGGCAGGCAGACCCCCACCGGCCCCTCCAGGGACCCTCTGGGCACCTGGGAAGGACGGGAGACTGATGCAGTCAGCAATATCCAGGCTGGTGGGCCCTCTCCCTAGGCTCTAGCCATAGCCATCCAGACTCGGGGCCCCTCCCTGCCTACACTCCATTCAGCAGCTCACCTCCTTGTGCAAATCCAGGTGTCAGAGAAAATGGCCACCCTGACCCAGGGACTCTCAGCCACCGGGGCCTCACGCCTTTGTTAACAGACACCAACCTGGTTTAAGTTGTTTATTTTCAAATGCAAAGCTGTTCCCTGACACCTGAGAAAAGGGGACCCAATGCTGGTGGCCCCAGGGGCCCACCTGGGTCGGAAGGTGCCTGGCTACTCGGCCAGCTGGACCCCCACTCTGCCCAACTTTGAGGAAGACCTTGTCCAGGAAGGGGATGCCCCCCATGTGCCAGCAGAAACAGCATGAGTGTCCATGAGCTGAGACAGAGCAAAAGCCCCTGGCGATGTGAGGAAAGCCAAGGAGGGTCCGGGCTAGCGCCTATGCCTTGGAGTCCAGCCCATCGGGGTCCAGTTGGCGGCACTGGGCCTCCAGGATGCCGCGGAAGGCCTGGAAGCGGTGGTTGAGGTCAGGCCGGGCGTGCAGGCGGAAGCGGGTGCCAAGTGCGCCGTCAGGCGAGGGCGCTCCATAAAAGACACGCCGCACCCGAGAGTGGACCAGGGCCATGGCACACATGGTGCAGGGCTCGCGGGTGATGTACAGGTCGTAGCCGGTGCACACATAGGGCAGCCCATCCTCATCCTCGTCCAGCTTGCGCACAGAGCCGGCGCGGACGGCCGGCGCGAAGGAGCAGGCAGGGTGGGGCGCCAGGTTGTAGGCACCGCAGCCCTGGCCTCGTGCCACCAGGTCAATGCACACCATGGCAGCATGCAGCAGAGGGCTGGCGGCGCTGCTACAGTCGTGGCCCGTGGCCAGCACGCGGCCTGAGGCCGGATCCACCACCACCGCGCCCACAGCCCTCAAGCCCCTCGAGGCTGCCTGCTGCGCAGCCCACACGGCCCGCTCCATGTGGGCCTGCATCGCATCCCGCTCCTGGGCCGAGAAGAGGCATCCAGCCAGGGCTCGGGTCACCTGCCTGTCTTCATGAAAAGTCGTGGGCCAGTGAGTGCGCGCCTCCTCGAACTGGCTCCTGGTCAGGGGCGGTCGCACAGGCACAGGCACCAGGAAGGGCTGCCCCAGGCCACGGGTGTCCACATCCGGCTGCGGGAGGAGCTCGGCCAGCGATTGAGAGCCCCGGGCCGGGCCCGCCAGGCACAGCAGCATTTCCAGCGAGTGCGGGCAGCCGGGGTCAGGGCTGGGCCGCACCCTCTTGAGGTGAGGCTGCGCAGGCAGTGGGTGGACTGCTGACACCTCCTTGAGGAGGCGTGAGGTCTGGCTCTTGTCTAGGACGGGCGCAGCATAGGCCAGCACCAGCTCCACGGCCCCAGACTGCTGCTCTGACAGAACCGGGAGGGCTTGCCACGGCGGTTCTTGCTCCGGACTCCTGGCCTTTGCATCTCTGTGCAGCTCCATGACGCCCAGGGCGGGGTCCATCCTCAGTGGGGCTCTGACTGTGGGAGACAGAGACCGGAGCAGGGCATCATCCTGGGCTGTAGTGGGGCCTGACGAGCTGGAGGGGTCGTCCCAGGAGCGTGCCAAGTCTGCAGGCTCGTCCCACCGAGCAAAAGGCACCAGCAGCTGTGCTCTCACTCACATTTTACTAACGCCGTGTTTGCACAGAGTTTAAACCGCCCTTGTCTGGGTTTCTTTTCTCTGCCCACTTTTTTTACTGAGAAGTGCCATGAGCAAAAATGCACACTGGATCCCAGAGACTTAATACAAAAGAGAAAATGTAACTGTCTCGTTAAGTCTCTTTCTGTATTCCACGGACACAGAAGACTGACTCACTACACCACTTTATTCAAAGGCCTTGAGATCCTTGGATCTTCTTATCCTTGGGGGCCCTGGACCCAGTTCCCCATGGATGCCGAGGGATGGCTATGTTAACTACATGGCTGAAGTAGGAACACTCTACATGTCTCAGGTTAAATGAACATATGATTAAGGTTAAGTTCAACTGTTTCTTTGTAGTTTCCCAAAACATGGCTTCTACACACTTCATTTCGTGTACATGTCTCGAGTTATATTCCTACTGGTCAGGGCTGCCCTGGCTGACAGCAGAAATGGGCCACAGATGACATTCACATGGCTCCAGAGCCCAGTGCCCTAGCGGTACCTGGGATTGGACCAACCCCTCCCACCTCTTTCCCATGGACAAGGTGTGCTGAGACCGTGTCACAGTCTGGCCCTTACTGCTGCAATGCAGCCTACTCATCACTCCTCAGCCCATGGGCCCTGCAGCGGGCACAGGAGGTCCTCACCAACCACTACCAGCAAACACACAGCATGGCTAGGGGCCCCTCAGGTACCCAGGATGCCCAGGCCACGTTAGGCCCTGAGGAGGGTCCTGGGCATGCTGGGTCTAAATCCGCTCCCAGCACACACCGTGCCCCGGGCAAAATGGCTCCCACAGCCTGGTCCAGGCCACAAAAGATCCCACTGTCTCCCGGGCAAGACAGACACAGTCCTGTTTGTCCCTTCAAGACTGCAATCTCTGTCTGACCGAAACAAAACAAGTGACAGAGACAGGAGGCTGGCCTCGGACTGCTGCTGGTGGGGCTGCCATCCTCCAGGGAGAACAAATAAAAACCACCAGGAGGCCACCATCTGGCCCAGTGACCCCACTCCCAGGTGCACACCCAGGAGAACTGAAACACGTCCATACATGTCCATACAGCCACCTATACACATGTGTTCACAGCAGCACAACTCACAACAGCAAAAGGTGGTTGCAAGCCCATGTGTTAACTGGAAGATAAACACATAAACACCAGGTGGTCCCTCCACACACGGAAGCATCCCTCAGCCATGGAAAGGAGAGAAGCCCTGACACTCACTGCCACGTGAACGGACCCCGAGAACATGATGCTCAGTGAAAGAAGCAGACATAGGACACCTGGGGCGTGATTCCACTAATGGGAAACGTCCAGAACAGGCAGATCTACAGACACAGAGAGTGGGTTCCTGTTTGTCAGAGGCTGGGAGGTGGGGGACGGGGGGGGGGGGTCTGCTCCTGGGGACAGGCTTCCTATTGGAAGATAGAGTGTTCTGGAACTACACAGAGGTAATGGTCATATAATACAGTAAATACACTAAAAAACACTAAAAAAGTATGCCTTTATGTGGGTGATCCCCACACTATGTGAACTGTACCTCAGTAAAGCTGCTGCTCTTTGTGGCAGCGGTGGGGAAATCTGGCAGTCACCAGGGCGTGCATGCTTGCTTAGTCAATCAGTCATGTTGGACTTTTTGACCCCATGGAATGTAGCCCACCAGACTCCTCTGTCCAGGGGATTTCCCAGACAAGAATATACTAGAGTGGGTTGACACGTCCTTCTCCATGGGATCTTCCCGACCCAGGGATCGAACGGGCATCTCCTGCATTGGCAGGTGGATTCTTTACCCACTGAGCCACCAGGGTCACAGCACACCTCGAACAAGGCCCAGACCTCGTGACTGACGCCAGTGCTGAAACCGCTGCCTGTCTTCACTCCTGCGAATGGGCTCCCCGACTTCCCCCACGACCCAGACGGAGGCTGCGGGGCTGGTCCCTTTCCAGAGGCCAAGGGACTTGCCCAGGGCCACGTGCCTGGGAGGGCAGAGCTGCAGCCCGATGGCCAACAGCTCCCAACTCTGCCTTCTGAGCCCCGTGGAGGGGAGGGGCTTTACAGACAAGACGCAGGCTCCTCCAGGGTGACACACCCAGACTGGGAGCTGTGGCCCACCTGGGAACGGCCCCCACGCCCAGCGATTGCTTAAATGAACCCTGGGGACCTCAGCATGCCGGGAGGCTGGTCTGTTCCTCTT